TATTAAAAAAAAATACTGAAGTTCATAATCGCTTGACTTTTGCAGTGTGTTTGTCTTTCAAGCATTACGCGTGATCTCACAGTGCGCGTGATCTCACAGTGCACAGGAAATCACCTATAGAAATTAAACACTATGATAATGACTATCATATTAGAGGCACATCTTGAATAAAACCATTGAAATGCCTCTAAGTTACCTGATATGTAAGCACATGTCCTTACATACCCGGTAGATAAAATACATTATATGGGCCAACACAAAAATGTGACGATATCAAAGAAGTCTCTCTGAGTGTTTGGACTTTGGAGTTCAATGAATATTAGTTGTTTATTTAATATAACAGTTAATATATGATTGGTTATAAAATATAGCATTTCTGTGTAAAAAAAAAAAAAAATGAGTTAGAGGTTATGTTCTGCACAAACAAGGCCCTCCAACTTGTCTGAAAATGGAGCAGAGTTTTTAATCGCTTACTGTACAGATGTTGCCAGGATATTACTAATCAATATTCTGTTACTATTTTTATCCTGATTAATATAACCAAATAAAAAGTCACCAAGTGCAAGTGTTGGGGGGGTGTATAATGCGGCAATACTTTTAAATCCTCCAATTATTTTTGTAAAAATAATAAGATACATTTTGCCTCAAAAATAATGAGACTCTTATCGATTACACTCAACAAAGTATATCACTTTTACCCATTGTTCAGTTTGTGATGATGAGTCTTTTTTTAATTTCTATTTTCATGCGACTTGTAATAAGTTACATTCATGTCACACAATTAGCAAATACACTTACTACACTGTTGACAAAATGAAATTTTGTTGGAATGTCGAAAATCTCATATTACCGATATTGTCACAGTACAGGCAGCTTGACGTGCAAATACAATATCATGTATATCTACACTGGAATCATCATTGAATACTTCAAAATATTTGTAGCTTTTAGAAACCTCCACATGTAGTGAGGTGTTTACCAGCAAATGTAAATTTTATTTTATTTTTAAATGTGAATTCATTGTCACAACAAGTTATACACTGAAAAACCATTGAAATCATGTGAAACAGCTTCATAATAACATATCAGACAATACCATGCACCAGCTGGAGGTTCACAAATTGTAATCATTTAACCCATGCCAACAGTTCTTTTTTGCTCCATACAAATAGATTACAGTAATCAAGACAAAATTTTTTGACTAACTTTTCACAAATATGGTAAATTTGAACTATTGATTGCTGCAATGAACACTAAAGTGTTGAGTTATGCCGCTAATAATATCTTGAGAATCAAATAAAGTTAAACAACATTTTGTTCAAAATCACAAAAATTAACGGTCAGTCCCAACTTTGTACAGCAGTCAAAATGATTAAAAGGCCTCATGCTGCAACTTTTTACATTCTTCACGTAAGAATGCATGTCAATAGATACACAAGACAAACATGAAAAACACAAAACAAGCAGCCTCTCGGCTGAGATATCTCCGCTGTTAGCAATGCACATTTCAATTAAAGAACAGAAGATATCATTAGAAAATGAACAATATGCATAGTATCAATGCTATGGGACTTGCTGTTTTCAAAAATATCATTTTTCACTATAAATGATTGTGGTTTTTAACAAGAAGTCGAAAATATCACTTTTTACCAAAAATTACAAAAATATTCATCAAAATTAGAGAATTGAAGATATCATCATGAAATAAACAAATTTGAGAGTGGTCCACATGTAGTACATATATATGTAATATCAAAGCAATTGGACTTCTGGTTTTTAACAAGAAGTCAAAAATATCACTTTTTACTAAAAATGACAAAAATATTCACCAAAATTAGAGAATTAAAGATATCATTAGAAAATGAACAAATCTTAGATAGGTCCACATGTAGTACCTATATATGTAATATCAAAGCAATTGGACTTGCGGTTTTTAACAAGAAGTCGAAAATATCACTTTTTACCAAAAATGACAAAAATATTCACCAAAATTAGAGAATTGAAGATATGATTACAAAATGAACAAATCTGGAAGAGGTTCACATGTAGTACCTATATATGTAATATCAAAGCAATTGGACTTGCGTTTTTTAACAAGAAGTCGAAAATATCACTTTTTACCAAAAATGACAAAAATATTCACCAAAATTTAGAGAATTGAAGATATGATCATGAAATGAACAAATCTGAGAGAGGTCTACCCAAGGTACATATACACCAAGTATCAAAGCATTCAGGCTTGTAGTTTTCAAGAAGAAGTCGAAAAAGTAAAACATTGACACGGACGACATACGACGACGGACAATCACTCATATGATAAGCTCCGCTCGACAAAGTCGACAGCGGAGCTAAAAATTGAGAAGTGGTCACAGGATGAACAAATCTGACAGATGCCAACCCAATGCATGTGCGCTATCACTACTGTAGGCCAAATTGCTACATAGTAGATATTATTAAATATAGTTTTTTGTAGCTACTGTATTTATCCGGCTAAGAGCCCATGCCGGGACAAACGCCCACCCCCCACTTTTGATAAAATAAAGGACTTGAGGT